AAATCTGAGCCTAAAGGAAAATTGAGAGAAAGGAACCCAATTTAAAAAAAAAAAAAAAGGAACTGTTAGTTTGTGATTGCCTCTAACATAAACCCCCAAACAATAGTTTACTTCAGTGTGCACAATACTTTGTCGCCTTGCTTTGTTTCATTTCATATCAACGGCTAAGGTTACATCTTTGACCCAAATTAATCTGTCTCAGGATGCTAAAAAAAAGTGAGTTTGATGTTGTCTTCATTTCTTAACCAGTCTTTCTGGATTTCCAAGAGAAGGCTTTTTGTTGTTGTTGTTGAAAGAACACACTTTTCAGAATATTTGCCAAACAATAGGAGATTGTTAAACTGCTCAGTTATAAAGGTATGATACCCAAACCAACCCCAAGATGAGAAATCTGTACTGCATTCCATGCAATTATTGTTTTGGAAATATCGCCCCAAGAGCCTCAGGTAAGCGAGCTGTTCAGAACATAGTACAATACTGGTTACAGACTTAACCCTCATTTCACCAGGAGAGAAGGGTGCACAAGATTAGGCACAAATTCAAGCGAACATTGTTCCCTATCAGCTCTAAAAAGCCAGTTGGTCCCAGTCTTTGCTTTACTGCTTGTGAGTAACTGCAGCTGTAACTTGCAAAATCAATATGATTTAGCTAGACCATGCCATATGAAAGCAACTTTATCTACCCTACGCCAAATAAAACAAGTGGGAAAGGCTTGTGCACAACCGACCAGGTTAAACAAGCAGAGGAAAACAGTGCTGTAAACTCCCATGTGTTTGCAGAAATGAAATCCTTCCCCACCCTACCTAAAAATAAAGCTTGAACTGATGACAAGTGGTTACTTTTCCACTAGCTTCTTACAGGAGGATAATGATAAGGCTCTCACTGCCCAGTTGTGGCTGAGATTTGATGATCTGTGACTACTTAAGTACTGGATACAACACCAGTGTCTGTCTAGGCCCATTTTCTATCAAGTGTTAAATATGCCCTAAGACTGACCTCTCCCAAGTCTTTAAACATTCTTATGAAAATTGCCAGGAGAGGAATTTAAGAGCACTTTAAAAGTTAATTAGTTTGCACTTCTTCTCTGATAACTGGATGCTTAGTAAGGTGACTTATGCTTTGGAACTGCACAGAATACAAACAATTAAAAGTACAGGTTTTTCTTGAATTAGCCTACTTCCCTTTTGCTACAAGTGTGACCTCATGGGGGTGCAGGGTCCTGTAACTTTGATCCCACTGCTGTACAGATCACAGGTGAATTGCTTTCTACTTAGGAAGGCAGGAGAATTTTAGTCCAACACCTATGCAGCCCGTTACACCATCACTATGTCACAGCCTAACCATGGAGTTTGCAATCTCTTGTGAATGTTGCAACTTAGTAGGGAGTGTGTAGACAGTTGTGCAGTGCAAAGGAGTGGGAATGCTTTGTCTCAAGAAGGGCTATAGTAAATGGTAGGATAGATGCAACAGGTTGGCATGCCAAAAGTCATCAACAGAGGCAACAGGCTGCATTAAGGATTTGTTCCTCTGTTTTGTGAGCAGGGTTAAGTGATTATGAAGTCTCGGAGAGGTAGCCATGTTAGTCTATCTGCAAAAATGAGGAGTCCTGTAGCACCTCAAAGCAGCAGCTGACAAAGTGTTTTTTACCCACAAAAGCTTATGCCCAAATACAAAGGACTCTAAGCCTTTAAGGTGATTCAGGACTCCTTGTTTTTTTTTTTTTAAGTGATTAAGGATAAAGTGTCAGAGATAAAGAAAGTCATGGATTCCATGACTTAGAGTCTGAGATATTTGCTGCTTCTGCCTCAGAGTGACAGGGGGTCCCCCACACCTCCCAGCTGCAGGCACTGTAGCCCCATGCCCCTGTAGGAGACAGGGAGACCCCAAAGCCTCGAGCCCTAAGGGCAGTGGATGCCAGCCTTACCCCTCACTGCAGTGGTATTTGGGATCCCATCTCCCGCAGCCTTCACTCATGCCACAGTGTCCCCCGCCTCCTTGTGACTTTTATTAAAAATAATGAAGTCAAAGGCTTTGTGAATTTTTGTTTACTGCCCACAACCTGTCCCTGACTTTTACTAAAAATAACCATGACAGAAACCTTAGCAGTGATTATCTCATCATCACCAGTGTAGAGCAAAACACAATACAGCCTACCTATCTAGGAGGGAACTGCAGAAGTTGGTGGAGAACAAGAACTGCAAATTGTCAAATACATTCTGAGAACAGAATAGTGTTGGCTTCAGAGGGGTAGCCGGGTAAGTGTTTCAGAAAAACGACAAGGAGCCCAGTAGCACTTTAAACACTAACAAAATGTATTAGGGTTTTAGAGCATACTGGGCAATTGGCTTCTTAAGGCTCCTGCCTATTGACATTATTCACATGACTGGAAGGACAATAACTGGAAATAGTCAATTTAAAAAAAGGTTTCAGATACCAGGCAGTTTAATGGTAGGTATCTGGTTACTACTTTTCTCTGAAGCACCCTCACAAGCAAGAAGAGAAAACAGGGACTATATAAGGAGAACTGTGAAAACTGACTATTCAGAGATACAAAGAAAGAATCCCCCCCTCTCCCATTCAGATCTCAGAGGTTACTTTTAGTGCTAGTCAGTACAGCATCTCAACCCTAATTTAAAATTGTTATCCCTGTACACTTAGTTGTGAAGAACATAAATCAGACCCTTGCTGCTTTAATCTGGAAATATCTATTCTATTACTGAAATGTGATCTGAGCCTACCTCTGGTTTCAGATCTATGTTAAGAAAATACTTTCACAAGTTTTTCACTACTAACTTACTGCTGTGTAAAATGGAACTAAGATTTGCTGCCTATTCTATATAGAAATTGTATCTCCTGTGCTGCATTTGCCAAGGATCTGTACAAAGAGTCTTAAAATAATACCTTTTATTAGCCTAAGCCAGAAAATGCACAAGCTTTTAAGAACATGACTTACGCTTTTGTAAGCGGGTTTGGGGGAGGAGGGTGGGAATCTTTCCTTTCCTTCTCCTCACTTGCACAAAAGTTGCTCTGAATTTTTGGTTCCTAACTGCAATTGTTTTGCAAAATGGGGAGGAGGGGCAAAAAGGCACCCAAAAAGTGAAGAATTTTATCTTGAGCGAGTCACTTCACCTTTCTGCGCCTCTTTGCCTTCTCAGCAGTCTCATGTTTTTAGTTTGTAAGTTGTTAGTATGTGTACCGCACACAGCAAAATAGGACCCTGATCTCACCTCTGGCTTCAAGATGCAATATAAATAATATAAAAAGGGACTTTCAACATTGGTAAGAAAACAACAATTGTAGTTTCTACAGCATAAGCCTAACCACAAGAAAATGGATTTTTCAGCTTGCTGGTACTGAGATACAAATTTCCCCTCAAGCCATCCTGACTCCTACTAAAGTCAAGGGGTACTTGGCAGATACCAGTAACAGATCCTAGGGCCTGATTCTGCTTCCACTGAAGTCAAGTGAGATTTTGCCACAATTCAAGGGTTAAAAAAATGGGGGGGGGGAGAGAGAGAGAGATTAGATCAGTCTCTCCCCAGCATCATACCCACCTAAAAATTCATTTCAGTAGCATGCAGTGGGAGCCATTAAAAACCCCCCACCTCTACCAAACATTGCTTCTGGCAGAACATGGGGGCTCTCCCAGACTTAGGGTGCAGCTGTGCCATGCTATTGCTTACTGAAAAAATGCTATCTATGCTGATGGGAGAGCTAATAAACCACCTAATAAACCATCCTGTTAGTCTTTAAAGTGCTACATAGCCCTATTTTTTGTCCCCCTAGCACAGGTACTCCACCTCCCCAAAAGGCAGTAGCCATGCCACAAGAGAAACAGAACTATCTCTACTGGGAATTACACACCAGAAGTAAGGCTGGTATCCCTGTACCTCTCAGGAGCGTGGCTTTTCCACACCCCTGAGTGACTTAGTTATATTGACAAAAGACTATAGTGTAGACCAAGCTTTCCCCACATCTGGATAAAAAAGGTCTTAGAATACTGGGCAGTATTAAAAGCTCCCATGAATATCCCCTTAGCCTTCCTGCCACACCGACTGCACTTGCCTCTTTGTCTTATTGCATTGACTCTCTACACTCATTCGGTTAACACTATTGCAGTGAATCACACAGACCTGTTTTGATTTATTTTTTTTAGCAAGTTCAGAAGACAGGGTGTTTACAAGCCCAACAGCCCCCTACCGTCTTGCCTGGATTCACAGTGGCAGCAGCGCTACCCGCGGCTGGGTGGGAACATTTTCAGTGATAAGCAGCCTGCAAGCAGCAGACACAGCCTTTGAGATTCGGGAAGCCCTCCGAGGCTCTCTCGATCCAAAAGGGCTTCACAACAGACACCAGTCCGCAAACCAAACACACACCGCACAGCTCGCCTCTGCTACTCTTCCCAATTCTCCCAAGCCGGCTCCTTAGGCATAAACAAACCAACAGCACCATAAACTCAGCCTCCTCCCCGGCAGGAGAGGCAGCTGTTCGCAAAGGGCAGCCCGGGGAGAGCCGCAGCCGAAGAGGTGGTGTGGAGATAACCTTGGGCTCGTTGCCCATGAAACCCGCCCTGGGGTGGGCACAGGCCAAGCTCACAGCGGGCTGGAAGTCCCAGGCAAGGGCGCGGGGAGATGCTCAGCGCCTCCTATGTAGGTTAGTGGGTCAACCTAGCAACGAGCCGTAGTAGGTTTCGCGCAGGTCTCCACCCGGGAGGAGACGCGGCCCCCCCCCCGGCCAGAGCATTAGGCGCAAGGAAGCCGCGTGCGGGCAGCTTCCCTCCTCCCAAAGCCCCGGCTCCGAGACGCCCCGCCAGGCAGGCGGTGGGGGGAGAGGGAAGGCAGAGGCGGGGGAAGGAGGGAGGCTTTCGGAGGAGCCCGGCAGGGGCGCGGGTGGAGACCCCCGCCGGAGCCCCCGAGCAGAGCCGCTTTCGCTCCCGCCCGCGCGCCCCGGGCTGGCTGCAGACAGCGCCGAGCACCCAGGCCAGCTGCCCGCACTCCCCTGGCGGCCCCGCCGCACGCGCGCGCTCCGAGCAGGTGCAGCTGCTGGGGAGCCCTCCCGGCTGCTGTGAGTCCCGCTCGGGGAGGGACGCGCCTCGCCAGCCCCCGGACTCATGCGCACTGCGCCCGGCCCACGCCCCAGCGCGTTTAAAGGGACAGGTCCCGCGGCTGTGGGTCGGGAGCCCCTCTTCCCCCTCGCAGTCCTGAGCCCGAGCTTCGCCGGGCGGGAAGCCGAGCTCTGGCGCTCCGCCTCCCCGCTCCGGGGGCCGCCTTGTCTGTCTTGCTGACCCGCCGCAAGTTAAAAGCGACTGGCTTGGAAAGTCAGACCTCGCCAAGGCGCACGGGCTCAGCGCAGGGGCGCCGAACGCTTGCTGACTCTCCTTGTTACCACGCCCTTATCAAATCCACTGGCGTATCAATTGCACTCATAGGTCAGTGGATAGCATAGAGGAGGGATGCCAAGGGTTAACCAGTATGCTGATGGGAGGATGCTTTGGTTACTAGCGATGTTAGATAACATGTAATCGAATAGTCATGTAACCACATCAAATTTAGCAGCTACACAACTATTTGATAGCCCC